AAAGGAGAGAATCAGTAAGATTCATTAGGTGGCCAGATGTCTGAGTAACAAAGGTAGCAACTTATTTCTCTAGGGACCTGGATTGAATCCAATTGGGTTGGAAAATCCCAGGAATTTTTTTCTATCTGATGGACCTCCCAAAAAATGTTGGGCCCATCTCTTACTTTCTGCCACCCTTTATGGGCCTGGCTGAACCCATAATGAGTTTGCTAAAAAAGTCTTCTTAGTGCCCATAGGTGAGAAAGAGTTAAGCCCTTCATCTCCAGTATTTTGAACCTTGCCAATTTTTCTTTTTATTGAAGATGTAGTCTTGCTGGTTTGTCTTTGGACAGAGATGGAAATAGCAGATAGATTCTGAAGGTTTTTTTTTAACCTATAGATTTTGAAAACCTTTAAATTTGAATATTTATGAGTGTTTCTACATTTATTTCTTTTTCATGTTGTGGATTATCTACACTGAAACATACAGTATACTTGCTTATTATATTTTAATATTGGTTTAAAAAATACATTAAATTAATTATTGCATGTATTACCAATAATTAACTTAAAATACACTTGAATCCAGTAGCAAAAAACGTTTTTTGATATTGAATTTAGCTGTATTTTGAGTTAATTATAGTTAAAAAGATTTTTTAAGTCACATACAGTACTTTATAAATAAAGTTAGCATTAGAAATTTCAATGAGCAATCGTCTATTTATCCTCAAACTTAGTTAAGACTCTCAGTTAGAATGGTAAAAAGATCTGATTGTTGTAATATGTAACATAAACTGTCAATTTTGATAACATTTAAAAAAAATTTTTAATGTTCTCAGCTCATGTAATGGATCAGAAAGATCTGATCTGAAAAGTAGACACCTAGCAAATGGAATTTTTATTACTTTACTTTTGACATTTTCATCTTACACTGGAGTATTAGTACTGTATTATTAATTTCAATAGATTTTTTTTTTATGCTGTTTAGATGGAATAAAAGTATGATTCTGACTTTATATATACAATTTCATCAGTTGATTTTCACAATCTGCATCATTTTGTGTTATAGAAAGATTCCTTTATCAAGTGCTTGAAAATATATTTAGTGTCCACAGTTTGTGAACAGAGCATTGTAACCCCAAGTTTTTTTTAATGAAATATCCAATTTATTGACTGAATAAAGTTTTCTGTTTAATTAACTTATACCAATCAGAAATTACATTGAAGTTGAATTTTTAGATTATAATGACATTTTACTCAACTGTTTATAAAATATATTTTATTCGTGTAATGATACATTGAAGCCAAAATGATTTTTAAGGGGGATGCTTTACATTTTCGTGCATTTTATTCTCATACTTTTATTCATTAGTTATCAAATTAATTGCATGTTAATTCTGGTATTTGTTTCTTTTGCTAGTTCTTTGTTAAAAAAAGATTTTGCAAGGTTGTTTGGATCCATCTAGATTCAAATTTCTGTAATAATTGGTAGTTAATAATTGTGGTTACGTTTTAAATTTAAGCATGTGAAAAAATGTTGATCTAATCTTTACTTCTGAATGAGTTCTGAGGAGTATATTGATTCCTCAGCCAGTAAAATGAAAGAATTTAATGTCCGTGAGGCTGAATAAAACTTACTTGATTACTTTAAAAAGTTGCTGAACGACATAATAAAATTGTATTGTTAGAGAGAAATCACTTTTTTACTAAATTGATAAGCACTTAGTGTTATGTTTCTTTCCCCATAATCCAGACATTATAATTATAGTGTTTATGACCAGTTTAATAATTTGCAAACCTTGAATTTGTTTTACTTTTGTTAATTCTCACATTTAAATATAATTTTATTGAACTTATTGTTATGTATATTCTATTAATTTTTTTCTGTGTCAGTTTATTGAAAGTGTTTTATTATTGTAAATGCATTGTATCTTTCATTCTTCATACCTGTTTGGAATACTGTAATTATGAAAAACAAATAATGTTGTTTGTTTAAGGATACGAAATATTGAAAATCGTGAAACTTAATAGATCTTGAAAAAAGTTCAAGAATCTCAATGACACTGTTCTAAATACAAGAGTTATCTGTTATAGGACTTTTTGAGTGATGTAGACATCTACTATGCATATGTAGCTAGAACTATTTCTAAGATTATCAGCACAAAACCTTTCTCACTAATTTCTAGCCTTATTAACTGACGCTCCACAGTGTACCTGAGGAAGGCCTATTAAGAAGGCCAAAAACATTTGTACTCCAGTTAATAAGGCTAGAAATTAGTGAGAAAGGTTTTGTGCTGATAATGATGTAGACATCATTGTAGATATGCAAGACTCAAGCATGGTGCATGATATATCAGAGAAAAAGTTGATAAGCTTTATGTCTTATAAGCTTCACATCAAATTATCATAATTGAGGAAACTACTATTATAAATTGCCTTCTCATTCCTCATGCCCTAGGATCATTAGTAAATTGAATATTTTGAATTTGAACTCCTTTATATACTGTTTCAGTGATGCCCAAACTACAGACCCCAGGCCAAATCTGGTCTGTGGCACGTTAATCCAGCCTGCAAACATATTTGACACATCACTTATAAATGATGTAAATAGTCCTACTTTTAGTATATGTAGAATATACAAAATTTTTATGGCCCATCTAACTATGATTTACACACAATTTAGCCCACCAATGAAGAAGTTTGGATGGCTCTGTACTGTTCAATCATTATCTACGGGGTTGTTTCTAGAAAACTTTCTCATGCAATGCTTACTTTTGATTTCTAGTAAATAGTGTTATTGGTAAATGCAAATTTTAGTAAGGAGTTAACAAAAATTCAGTCAGAATAGCCTTTAGATAAAGTTTAATTATGGAATTTGAGCTCTAGAAATGGCATTTTTTGAATTTCGTCCAATCCATTTTTTAGTGGGTAATTAATTGTTATTCTGTTAAATTTTGAAAATGGAATGAAATGCTGAAAGCATCATAATTAAGTATAACAAGCTAAAATTTAGGAAATACTCTCAAGAAAATATGATGGAAGGAATACAAAAATTCCCATCCAATGTGAAGATCTTGCTCTCACATTGGATGGGAATTCTTGTATTTCTTCCATCTTGTGGTGAATTTTTATTGTTGATCCTGTATCTGATAGACATACTCTCACCGGAGAGACTCATAAATCCTTTTATTAGTCTGCTCGCAATAACTGATAACCATCTGCAGACTTTCTGCGCTTCACTCTAGTATTTGATCCAAAAGTGGGTATGAATCCAAGATTTATCTGTGGTTTTCCTGCAGTATTCCATTCAAAAGGCACAGTAAACTCGATATTCATTTGGTTGTGACATATTATGTGCAAGTTATTTTTATCAATGGAAGATGTACTTTGTCACTTATTTGTCCATTTGTTTGTTCTAGAGTAGATTATGCTTTATTGTAAACACAAAAGTTTAAAAAATATCGATAAAATTAGTAAATTTCACTGCTCGATTATTTATCAAACTATATTAAAGTTTATTAATAATTTAGATACAAAGCAGTTTTGCTAGAGGTAGACAGTTAAGCTGCCATCTCATAACAAATTTAATAATTAGAAATAAATTAATTTTTTATTTAAATGCTCTTTTATGTTGGATATATCAAGCAATAACTGATATTTTTTTTTGTGATATTTTATGACGTAAGGCGGAGTATATTTCGAAGATTTAAACCATCAAAATTTATTAATATTTGGTTTTGTACTTGAAACAGGATGTTTATTTGATAAGTCTGCCTTAAAAACTAAAATTTGCAATCAAAATCATTAGTTTATTTTCGTGTGTTCAAAGGGTTAAGTTTGAATTCTTTAAATTTTCTATTTATTATAGGGATTTTAATGTTTGTTTTTAGAATTTTCTACTTATGTTTTTGAAATTTTAATTTGTTACTGAAAGCAGTTACGTGAAATGACATGGAATGTGTTGAAGTCTGATCAGATTTCTTGCATGCTTCTGCAACTTGTGATCACTTCAGTGGTGTGCCTCTTGCATTAAATGACCTTTGATGTGTATAGAGTAAAGAATGATGCAACAGACAAACCGTGCATCTGTTATGCTCTAAATTTAGAATATGTAAAAAATTGTTTGGATAATGGCAATTGTTTCGGAACATTCCACATCGGAGGATCCGGCGCATCATCTCCCGCATCTCCGTCTTCTCTTCGGAAAGTCGGGATGCAAACGAAAGCAGTTTCAATTTTTGAACTCTGGAAGGAGCCTGTAAAGATGGATGACAAAGGCAAACAGTTTGGACAGAGATTTATGACACGTCAGGGCTGTCTATACACCAGCTGTTGCCTTACTTTCTCTCTTGTGGTGGATAGGGACAGGTTAAGGGGTTGAGCGAGTCACGTGTACGGGGTTTTTTCCCGGTTGTGGCATAATCACGTGACGCTGTCACGCATCCCTTTGGAAGTGAAGCGTGGAGGGTTCGTCCTCGTCACGTGACGCGTACAAAATGCATGCGAGAGCGCGAAACCGGGTTGTTTGTCGCCGTCCAATCGGCGTTATTATCGGAACGTTATCTTCTTTTCCGTTACAGGAAACTTGAAAAAAAAAGCGTCGCGATAAAGAGTAACTCCCCTTCGACATATTTTTATACAACGACAGACGGAGGATATCAAAAATATGACGTCGGGGATATCCGGAGCACTGCCCCGGGTCCGTCACGTGACTGACGAGTGGGAAGCTCGCTGCCGGCGATGTCGCAATTATATGGTTATCGCACGAGTAACGAGAACGGCGTGACGCTTCGCGCCGAAGCGACGCGAATATCGCCGCGCGCCATCGGCGTTACGCTCGCTCCAACGACTTCTCACCCCGAATGGGGGTGGAAGAAGGTGCAGCCACCGGCTAGACGAGTCCCAGGGCAAGGGAAACGGGACTTGTAGGCCTCGGTGACCCGCTCGCCAGGTCACATGACGGCGATTAAATACCACTCCCTTCTACATTTATTTTATGTTTTAATTTTTTTTTCTTTTAGGTAAACCTTTCGAGCATCTCCCTCATCCGCCGTTCGGATATGTGGTATCGCCCTACGCACATCCCAACGGGACGATTGGACCCGTATCCATGGTAAGAAGCCGTCGTATCTTTAGTTAGAGCGCGACGTTTCGCGTCGCGCCCGGCGGATACGTAGAAAAAGCGGAGACACGCGACGCGTGATGTAGGTGTCGTTGGCCTTTTTGGAGCGCGGGGGGGGGGGAGTTTTGGACCACCCTCGCGGCTACGCTGAAGGCCGAGGTGTTTCGATATTTGACAGCGAGACGTGCAAAAGCTAGGCCACGAAAACTAAACAAAGAAGGGGCTAATGTGTCCGTAATGACAGAGAGCGGGCTGTTAACGGGTAGACCTCTTATCTTGGCCCATTATGCTGGCCGTAATGGGTCATTAACGAATATCCCCCTCCGTCCCTCCGACCTTGACCGACAGGTGCCTGCCATTCCGGATCGTGTCAACCTCGTATGCAAGGAGGAGGGGGGGGGGAGAAAAACGCTTCTCGGAATTTCGACCCGACACGTGATCAGAGCCCCTTAATCCGCTTCGGTCACGTGACCGCGGCGGATAATCCGGATTAATGACCGCAAAATGGGTTTCGGGCAGTGTAATCCGGTTTCGAGTTCCTCTACGCGGTCGTGCGGCGATTCGTCGCGTTGCCAAAAATTTTCCCCGTCAATAAGAGATTAAGATTCGATTAACCGGCTGAACGGAAATGGTCACGTTTTTGGCGGTATTTACACTGATAGAAGAGTGTGAATCTCGAGCCACTTTGGCATTCATTTAATTCAATTTTAAAAAATAATGAAGGCATAAAAAAGGCCTGACAGATATTCAAGAGGCCTCAGAAAGGCCTAAATGCCTAGTTTATCCTTGGTTTTCAAATTTGTTGACACCATTCGCTTGTTATTTAGGGATAAGAGCCGAATCCTTAACCGACCACGTGATCAGTTTGGTTCTTCCTCCATTTTTAATTGGTCACGTGTGTTAACTGGATCCGTTTTTTGGCTAAGCGTGAACACGACCCGGTGAACAGAACCAAACACACTTAAGATGAACCGGATTCTTAACCGACGCTATAAAATCAGACCACGTGATCGAAAGGGACGGGTTGAGTTCGTCACGTGGCATTGTAGAAGGGGGAGAAACTGGATCCGAAAGCGGACATCACCTCTGTTTCCAATTAACCCTATGGGGTTTACTGTCATTATTATTATTATTAGTATTATGTTTTAAATAGCACACACGCGTCGCACGTGTATCGCAACACCAGTTCCGTGGGTGTGGGCGACGGTTTATGCCATTTTCGACGTCATTCTCATCACGGGATGGACGAAAATGACCCTTATCGTCGCGTGTTAAAACGCGTTGTTCCACTCTGAGAGAGACGGTTCCGATCGGACGCCGAACGTGTATAACTGCAGAATTTTTTCGGGACTCGTCTCCCTCGTCACGTGACCGGATTAAAGGTAGAAAAACCTCCCCCCGGAGCATTCCGGCTGGTTAGACATTGATAGAGTGGAGACGTCTGCCATTCTCCATCCCTTCGCCACTTCAGTCGCGCCAAGTAGCAACAGCTAACTAAGCCGAACGGCGTCGACGTCCCGTTTCGTTACGCTGGAGCCTGCGTCCATTAATTTTCCCTCCGGTCGGATCCGCCCAAAACGACTTCTCTCGGTCACGCTAGTTTTACGAGTAGAAACCGAGTAGCCTCGAGCCCTTTCTCGTCTGCTGCCAGTAAAACACTAGAAAAACCTTTCTTCCACGTACCCGTCTTCCCCGAAAACCCAACGAATTCGTACAGAGAAAAGCTCTCTCCCCCCTCTCTCTCTCTTACGCGAAAACACCCGTTTAACATGAACCATACGTGAATTTTCGTGGTTTTTTTTTATACACAACTCTATTGTTTGGCTACTTAACTAATTACACTAGATTGCAATACGCAGGAATTCAGGGTTTTCAGGAGGATGTTTTCGTTTGCGTTGACACCAGCTTTTCCGTTACGTTCTTCTCTTGAAATACCAAGCCAGAAGCTCTGATACGGTTTTGCCAATGTAAAAATCCGTACGCGGGGGGTTGAACGGGGGGCGACAGATCGCTTTTCATCAGACCGACGTAAGGATATAATCTTCGTTGTCGGGTTGTTCTTGATGGGCTTAAAGACGACAAAAGCTGCTTACGGGTTGTTTATGGGAGTAATCCCATCAATGGGACGATCCCAGAGGGGAGGCGATGACGTTACGACCGAATCAAATGATGACGAAATAAAAAATAATAATAAAATAAAATGGAGATCGTCTGGTGTCGGCATCGTTCCGAATATCTCCCAGGACGATTTAATTGTCGTGCGGTTTACTACGAGATCTTTCCGCCTGGTCTTCGCGCCTATTTGCTCTTCTACGCGAAGGTGAAAGGTCAGGGATCAATATTTGGAGCCTTTGACACGAATTTAGAGCTGGTAGGATTAGGCGAACGTTTCTAAACTTATTCCCTGTATTGTTAATAAAGGGTGGAAGCTGTGATAGATGTATTCTTTATGCATTGTTCCGTGGCTCGTGTTGCATTCTTTACGAGAAATAAAGGCAAGTATGGTGCTCCTCATCAGGAAACTTGTTTCTTTTATCTCGTTCCCATCGAAGTAACTGTGATATATTCTAGTTATAAAAGTACTTTTTGATATAATAACTTGTTCTAGTTATGTTTTCTTCGAATATAAAGGCTCAAACTCGGTTACTTCGCTACACAGGTTGGACCTCTTCTCAGATTTTCCATTATAGGGCTTCCTTACAGCCTTTGGAGCCTTGTAACGCCAGATTTAGATGCTTCTGTCCCATACAGCCTCCTGGAAAGATATCTCTGTGGTTCTCTTTAGAAGGAAATCTTAGTTCTTGAGTCCCTATGAAAATATAGGGCATTGTATTCAAATCGACGTTCCAAGACTTGTGTAGATAAACTGTACACATAGGTAATTGTGTCTTCTTGAGACTTTCTAAAGGTAGGTTCTACAGAGAAAGAGAGAGTTGTGTAGGGATTCTCTTTACAAATAGGTCCTTTATTTAATCAATTTCCTCTTGAGAAAACGCTACAGTAGTGTTTTCAAGTAGTAGGCTCAATATTTAAATTTTTCTTTTTAGTGACTGATGCTTTACAATGCTTATTGGTAGACCAAAGATAGAGCCATTGTAAAGCCTTCTAGCAAGAGATCTATTAGAAGTTCTCTCTAGAAGTAAGCCTCTCACTCGTAGGTAGAATAACTGCACTTTTCTAGAACTATTGTTTCTAATTATTCTTCATGTTAATGAAATACGTACTTGTGTTTTTCAGCAGGTTGGACCTCTATTTAGACAGCTTTAAAACTTTACGGGTACTTCGTAAGCCACTCTTTATAAAAATATAGTTCTTAATTAAGGAGTTTTTCTATTGTTATAGACATAGATTTATCCTCTTAAATTAAAGAGAAAACCGGAAAAATCTTATTAAAAGTTTAGTAAAAGATCAATCTACCGCAGTTAAGGTTAAAAGATATGAATGATATCTTCAGATATAAAAGATAATTAAACTAGTAGACGCTTCGAATCCCTTACAAAGAGATAAAACTGTAATAATAAAATTAAAACATCACTCTAGTAACTAGGTTAATAAACCTATTTGGTCTTTAGGAAAGTACAAAAAGTTCCCCTCTAGAGATACGAATAGAGAGAGAGAGAGAGAGAAAGAACAAAAGTTCTTGTTTTAAAAACGCTCTTTTAATATGAAATTTATTTATGAAAAGCTAGAAGCAGTTCTTAATCCCAAATTGGATTTACTTCGTGTTTATAATCAGTAGATACCGTACGCTCTGTTAATTAGGGTGTCCCAAGACTTGTGTAGCTATTCGCATCCTCTACTACTTAAAGCCAATTTCCATTTGCTATTGCAGCTTTGATCACTGATGGAGATATAATGGAAGACACTTCAAAGACTTCTTCGTTTGACTGCCCCCCTTGCTCAGCCCCATCCCCCCTTCTCTCTGCTTACCCACCAAGTCGCTGCACCAAGATTGAAGAGAGAGAGAGACATGTAGAAAAGTGTATTACGCTGACGTAATTGAGATCGGGTTGCGATACAAATCCTATTCTATTCGTTCCACCCCTCGGAACGACGGTAACAATAAAATGGAATTAAAGAAATTTTCGACTTTATATAATTTTATACTTAATAAATTTTAGCTAAGTAGATGGATTTTTCTTTTTTTCTCCTCCCTCCTCTTCAAGACTTTGATGGTTCTTCCTCCCTCCCTTGTTAGAAAGTGATGCTTTAAAACTTTAAAATTTCGTGGTTTTTGGTGTTTCCTTTCTGTTTTATTGCATTCTTTTCTTATTTCTGGGTCGATAGAATATTATGGTTTACATTCTATGGGCAGACATGCTGACTTGTTTTGTGAGGTTACGTCGGTTGCTCTACTTTTTGCGGTTTTATTGGGAATCCTACTAGTATATACCTATAATAAAAGCCCACTTGCTCGAGCTCTACAGTTTTTAACCTACTATAAAGCTTTATAAAACTCCCCTTGTCGAGGGTTCATACAAGAACATGCAGATTCCACATAAATCTACAGGTTGTGGTAGATCATATGGCTCTATATATACTTTGTATTTATTAAATTTTGTGCGGAATACAATGGTTTATAAGCCACTAAGCTGGTTGTGCAAGAAATCATGTTTATAACACCAGCGCGTGATGTTCCCTCTCGGTTTTTCTAGATGGCATCTGTTGTAATGCTATAAAATGAGGTTTGTAAGGTATTATACACTATATTTACGGATAAGATATTACTGTAGGCTGATTTAAGACACTGTATGGAATTTTTTATAATCATCTCATCATACTTATCTATTACAATATTGTTTAGAAGATTGTAGAAAGTAGCGGGTTCGTAACTTTGGTGCGATTTTATGGTATTAAATACATGGTTTTTCGCTATTTTATACAGTGTTTTTATGAAGGAATCAATAGTAGACGTCGTATATTTTATTTCTGCAAAAAAATTGTACCGATACGTGCATAAATTAAACAGTTATAATGCAGTAAAAAGGTGC